ATGAGTTCTTGCTAATTGACCAGTTTTACATATTCGGCACGAGAGACACACACACACACACACACACACACACACACACACACACACACATACACACATATATATATATATATATATATATATATATATATATATATATATATATATATATATATATATATATATATATATATATATATATGTGTGTATATATATATATATATATATATATATATATATATATATATATATATATATATATATATATATATATATATATATATATATATATATATATATATAATCTTTCAACACACCGGCCGTATCCCACCGAGGCAGGGTGGCCCAAAAGAAAAAACGAAAGTTTCTCCTTTTACATTTAGTAATATATACAGGAGAAGAGGTTACTAGCCCCTTGTTCCCGATATTTTAGTCGCCTCTTACAACACGCATGGCTTACGGAGGAAGAATTCTGTTCCACTTCCCCATGGAGGTAAGAGGAAATAAACAAGAACAAGAACTAGAAAGAAAATAGAAGAAAACCTAGAGGGGTGTTTATATATATACTTGTACATGTATGTGTAGTGTGAAGTGTAAGTAGAAGTAGCAAGATGTACCTGAAATCTTGCATGTGTATGAGACAGAATAAAAAGACGCCAGCAATCCTACCATCGTGTAAAACAATTACAGGCTTCCGTTTTACACTCACTTGGCAGGACGGTAGTACCTCCCTGGGTGGTTGCTTTCTACCAGCCTACTACCTATATATATATATATATATATATATATATATTATATATATATATATATATATATATATATATATATATATATATACAATAAGATCACAGTAAACAGGTGATTTCAGAATATGCAAAACAACCACTCTGAAAGAATAGAGAAATTCCAAGCGCTTTCGTGACTACTCACATTATCAAGGAACTATGAAAGTAAAGCATCCAAGGAAGCTATATAAGGGGTCTGGCCAGCACCTCACTATCAGATCCCACAACGGTTAAACACCTGACGCGCGCCGACCCAACTTGGATAGGTCCTTTGCGCAACTCACCCCCAAGCTATTCTACCCAAGAAAATTTCAAAATTATTTGTCCAGTGTATTATTAAATTCTTCCCAATTTCTATTAATTATAAATGGATCTGGTGGCTCTGGTGGCCTGGTGGTTAACGCTCTCGCTTCACACGGTGAGGGCCTGGGTTCGATTCCCAGCCAGAGTAGAAACATTGGACGTGTTTCTTTCCACCTGTTGTCTATGTTCCCCATCAGTAAAATGGGTACCTGGGTGTTAGTCGACTGGATTGGGTCGCATCCTGGGACACTGACCTAAGGACGCCTGGTCACAGACCGGGCCGCGGGGGCGTTGACCCCCGGAACTCTCTCCAGATAAACTCCAGATATAAACCAAAGGAAATATTCATATTATTGTCAAAACTGCTTTTTATGAAACAAGATTCAATTATATTCCTGTCGACCATGGACTTGCTTGATACTACTTTCTCAACTTTTTGAAAATCAATTGGATGGTTAAAATCTCTTACATGAATAAATAGAGCATTGGAATCTTGTCCAGTTCTAATGCTATATTTATGTTGTTTTAATCTTAGTTCGAGATTTTTACCAGTTTGACCGTAATAAACTTTATCGCAAATTTTACAAGGAATCTTATAGACACATCCATCAGCATTTTGGGGGGAATTCTTTATCAAAAGTTTTTTTACTGTATCAAGATTTTTGAATACAACTTTAATAATAAAAGTCTTAAGTTGATATGTCTTGGTTGATATGCCTTCTCTTCTTAAGACTTTTAATATTAAAGTTGTATTCAAAAATCTTGATACAGTAAAAAAACTTTTGATAAAGAATTCCCCCCAAAATGCTGATGGATGTGTCTATAAGATTCCTTGTAAAATTTGCGATAAAGTTTATTACGGTCAAACTGGTAAAAATCTCGAACTAAGATTAAAACAACATAAATATAGCATTAGAACTGGACAAGATTCCAATGCTCTATTTATTCATGTAAGAGATTTTAACCATCCAATTGATTTTCAAAAAGTTGAGAAAGTAGTATCAAGCAAGTCCATGGTCGACAGGAATATAATTGAATCTTGTTTCATAAAAAGCAGTTTTGACAATAATTTGAATAGTTCCTTTGGTTTATATAAATTAGATCCATTTATAATTAATAGAATTTGGGAAGAATTTAATAATACACTGGACAAATAATTTTGAAATTTTCTTGGGTAGAATAGTTTGTGAGGTGAGTTGAGCAAAGGACCTATCCAAGTTGGGTCGGCGCGCGTCAGGTGTTTAACCGTTGTGGGATCTGATAGTGAGGTGCTGGCCAAACCCCTTATATAGCTTACTTGGATGCTTTACTTTCATAGTTCCTTGATAATGTGAGTAGTCACGAAAGCGCTTGGAATTTCTCTATTCTTTCAGAGTGGTTGTTTATATATAATATATATATATATATATATATATATATATATATATATATATATATAATATATATATATATATATATATATGGACTTCCAGCAGGCATGCGTGAGCGTGTTTGATAGGAGTGAATGGAGACAAATGGTTTTTAATACTTGACGTGCTGTTGGAGTGTGAGCAAAGTAACATTTATGAAGGGATTCAGGGAAACCGGCAGGCCGGACTTGAGTCCTGGAGATGGGAAGTACAGTGCCTGCACTCTGAAGGAGGGGTGTTAATGTTGCAGTTTAAAAACTGTAGTGTAAAGCACCCTTCTGGCAAGACAGTGATGGAGTGAATGATGGTGAAAGTTTTTCTTTTTCGGGCCACCCTGCCTTGGTGGGAATCGGCCGGTGTGATAAAATATATATATATATATATATATATATATAATATATATATATATATATATATATATATATATATATATATATATATATATATATATATATATTTGTAGTGTTCATAAATATTCACGCGAAAAATACATCACACAGAAAGCGAGACTGCTCACCATAACCTAATTTTTTATTGTTGTAAGTATATTGAACTGAAATATGGATGTGTTCCTTTCTTAACTACTGTAGTATTTCGTAAGAACACCCTTCCTCTTGATACAGTCCCCCAGGCACTGATAAGGCTAACTTATAGAGGATCGAAAAATCAATTCCCCTCCCCCACATATACTTAATTAATGATACTCAATGATGCTCAAGCCACGAAGGCTACACTTAACTAGTATTTCTGTAGGTGAGCGAACCCAGAAAGGTGTGTTGAAGATATGAAAGGAATCAGAAATAAATGTTTTTTTTTTTCATTGTGTAACTAAAGAATACTTCTGATTGGCTTCAAAATATTATTAACGATGCATTTAATAAAAAAATGTGATAACTCAGATTTAGTCCAAACAGATGCAGATTCTAAATTTTATTAAAATAGTTAATAAACTTGGAATTATTTAAATTATATTTATAAGTGATATCATTTATATAATCCAATGGCAATGTGTTCAGAAAACTTCACCACTAATGAGAATTTGAAGCCGTTCAGATAAGTAATTCTCCAGGTACGGTTAGGAATCCAACGATTCATACTTAATTTTCCTACATCACCGGTGGTGCCTGTATGCAAACAGACCTTAATAAGTTCTTTACTGGCACTAAGATACCCGTATCGTTCATTAAACATTGAAGCAACTCATAAGAGGTAACCGAAATTTATTTAACGTGATTTAACGGAAATAATAATTTCACACTACACATAAAATCGTTATATCTGCACCTTCTCGTCTGATGTTCACTCTCCCCGTCGACGTATTTTTTCGCACCTTTAATGAACATTTGAGGCTCTACCACTTAGGATTTTGCAAATTATCTGAGCCATTCCTGGATGCTGTGAATGGCTTTAACAACTTTGGTCACAGGGCAGGTAAATATGCCAACTGTTTCTAGAATTTGGTCCTCGTTACTGTACACAAACGTTGAAAATTTGAAGCCGAGCATAGTCTAGACTCTATGAACTGTTTATTTTACAGCCTCTGGTCTTCATGTGACAGTTGTGGTTTGACGGTCATGTTTAAATATCACTGGAATCTTTATTCTTCTATTCACTTTTTGCCCACTATCCAGTCTCTGTGCACATTTTCCGACTGTCACTACTAATGATTTGCTCTGGATGAATTAGAGCCTTTAGTTTACGCAGAGAGCAGTGATACAAACGATTATAGGTCTTGAGGGGAGGTTATTTACATGTTAGGAACAGTATAGGTCCCATGCTAGACACTTGAGGTAATTCGCTGGTGACATCTCATTGACATATATTTTCTCGTGTGACTGTTGTAGATTCTTCAGAAATTTATTTATGCACTGTATTTTTATGCATCTGTTTGTGAGGCACTGCATAGAGGGCGTTCTTGTAATAAAAAAAAGAATACAATAACTGCTTCAGTATTGTTCTTCCTGTCTTCCATGTGTTTATCACATATCTCAGACAGGTTCAGGAGGCACAGATTTTCAATAGGGGAAATTTAGTATTCTCACAAATCTTGACTATGTCTCTTTACTCTCAGTTTACCTAGCATCAGAGAACTATGTATTCATATGCACAACAACATTTATTATATTCAGGTACTCCCTGCCTTACACAATATTGAAGCATTCTTATACTGCAAACTACTTTCACCAGCTGCTGTAACTTACTGTCTGCTTAAACTATGATCAATTTCTGTAGTATTAACTAGTCTGTAAGCCATTACATGTGTTTTAGTCTGCCCATAATGGCGTGTCATGATAGTGCTCTTAGCTCTGCAACTCATTACTGTAACTACAGAATCTCAAAGTAAACTTGCAAAGAAATAAAAATTGTATTGTACTGTAATTGTGAATGAAAGAAACGCTATTTAGAAATATTGTGAATGTTGTTTTCTTAACAAATACAGCAACATTACTTACATGCGCACTACAAGAACACGAAATACACATATTTAAAGTGGTAAATTCTGTATATATGAAAGAATACTTACCAGCACGAAGACGTCCACTGGTTCATCGTAAGGCTTGAGATCCCTGGTCAGTAAAATGGCTCGAAACCGCACTGTGAAAGAGATATATATGTCTTACCTTCCCATCAACACAACTCAACCTACACTCGTCTCATCACACTCTCACTAAGAGGACTGACAGACCACTGGATCGAGTACATGAAATATATGAAAATTTCGTGCCAAATTGGCAATTTTTTGTTAAAAGTAATGGTCGTTTCTGACGAATAAGCACAATGAAAAATTTAAATATGCAATAAATCTGAGAAAATCTATCAGCATAACGATAAATATATATCAGTGAATAAAATTAAAATAATTTACACTCGTCTATGATATATTTAGTAGAATTAGTCAAAAATAAATTATGAAAGGTTAAACTAGGTGGGGGTTTCTAAGTTAAATTTGGCCGAAAAAGAAAATTTTTAAAATAATTTTCGAAGTCGCCAGTACAGCGAGTTTTGGGCTATTTGGTAAAAGTGTTCTTTGCAGAATAAGAAGAATGAAAATTTTTTTTGCCATAAATCAGTGGAAACCAATCCGAATACAAAATAATATAAATTAAACTTAAAATCTTTCGTATATATGACTGAATTAAGCTAAAAATATGCTAATTTAATTAGGTTAATTGAGGTTTCTGAGTTACAGTAGGTCCCCCAAAAATGTTCTTTATATTACAGTTAATGAAAAACATATTTATCATTGTGTAAAATATTATTTTTGAAAAAGAATAATTAATAACGTAGTTCGGCCTATTCGACAAGTTCGGTTTATTATACATGGCGGGCGGGCGGGCGGGCCGGCGCGCGCGCGCACACACACACACACACACACACACACACACACACACACACACACACACACACACACACACACACACACACACACACACACACACACACAAAAGAGGGAACAGGGGGGGGTGGAGGAGTGGCATTGCTGATCAAAAATCTCTGGAATTTTGATGAGCTGGAGAGAGGAGACAGCGGAGAAGAAAGTGATTACATAGCGGGAACGCTTCACTCTGGAGGTCCCAAGGTGGTAATAGCAGTGATGTATAACCCACCACAGAACAGCAGGAGGCCAAGGCAAGAGTACGACGAGAGCAACAGAGCGATGGTTGACACACTGGCTAGAGTGGCCAGAAGAGCTCATGCAGGGCAAAGCTCCTGATCATGGGTGACTTTAACCACAAGGAGATCGATTGGGAGAACTTGGGCCCACATGGGGGCCAAGATATATGGAGGGCTATGATGATGGAGGTGGTACTGGAAAACTTCATGTGCCAACACGTAAGGGACACTACAAGAGAGAGGAGAGGATGAACCAGCAAGGCTGGACTTAGTATTCACCTTGAGTAGTGCAGATATCGAGGACATCACATATGAAAGACCCCTTGGGGCCAGTGACCATGTGGTTTTAAGCTTCGAATACACAGTAGAGCTACAAGTGGAGGGAGAAGCAGGAAGGCCAGGACGAATGAAGCCAAACTACAAGAAAGGGGACTACACAGGAATGAGGAACTTCCTGAACGGGGTTCAGTGGGACAGAGAACTGGCAGGAAGCCAGTTAATGAGATGATGGAATATGTAGCAACAAAATGCAAGGAGGCTGAGGAGAGGTTTGTACCCAAGGGTAACAGGAATAATGAAAAAGCCAGGATGAGCCCATGGTTTACCCAAAGGTGCAGGGAGGCAAAAAACCAAGTGTGCTAGGGAATGGAAGAAATATAGAAGGCAAAGGACCCAGGAGAATAAGGAGAGCAGTCGTAGAGCCAGAAACGAATATGCACAGATAAGAAGGGAGGCCCAAAGACAATATGAAAACGACATAGCAGCAAAAGCCAAATCTGACCCGAAACTGTTGTACAGCCACATCAGGAGGAAAACAACAGTCAAGGACCAGGTAATCAGGCTAAGGAAGGAAGGAGGAGAGACAACAAGAAATGACCGTGAAGTATGTGAGGAACTCAACAAGAGATTCAAAGAAGTGTTCACAGAGGAGACAGAAGGGGCTCCAGAAAGACGGAGAGGTGGGGCACACCGCCATGTGCTGGACACAGTGCACACAACTGAGGAAGAAGTGAAGAGGCTTCTGAGTGAGCTAGATACCTCAAAGGCAATGGGGCCAGATAACATCTCCCCATGGGTATTGAAAGAGGGAGCAGAGGCGCTATGTGTGCCCCTAACAACAATATTCCATACATCTATCGAAACAGGGAGATTGCCTGAGGCATGGAAGACAGCAAATGTAGTCCCAAGTTTTAAAAAAGGAGACAGACATGAAGCATTAAACTACAGACCAGTGTCACTGACATGTATAGTATGCAAAATCATGGAGAAGATTATCAGGAGAAGAGTGGTGGAACACCTAGAAAGGAACGATCTCATCAACAGCAGCCAACATGGTTTCAGGGACGGGAAATCCTGTGTCACAAACCTACTGGAGTTCTATGACATGGTGACAGCAGTAAGACAAGAGAGAGAGGGGTGGGTGGATTGCATTTTCTTGGACTGCAAGAAGGCGTTTGACAGTTCCACACAAGAGATTGGTGCAAAAACTGGAGGACCAAGCAGGGATAACAGGGAAGGCACTACAATGGATCAGGGAATACTTGTCAGGAAGACAGCAGCGAGTCATGGTACGTGGCGAGGTGTCAGAGTGGGCACCTGTGACCAGCGGGGTCCCACAGGGGTCAGTCCTAGGACCAGTGCTGTTTCTGGTATTTGTGAACGGACATGACGGAAGGAATAGACTCTGAGGTGTCCCTGTTTGCAGATGACGTGAAGTTGATGAGAAGAATTCACTCGATCGAAGACCAGGCAGAACTACAAAGGGATCTGGACAGGCTGCAGACCTGGTCCAGCAATTGCCTCCTGGAGTTCAATCCCACCAAGTGCAAAGTCATGAAGATTGGGGAAGGGCAAAGAAGACCGCAGACGGAGTACAGTCTAGGGGGCCAGAGACTACAAACCTCACTCAAGGAAAAAGATCTTGGGGTGAGTATAACACCAGGCACATCTCCTGAAGCGCACATCAACCAAATAACTGCTGCAGCATATGGGCGCCTAGCAAACCTCAGAACAGCATTCCGACATCTTAATTAGGAATCATTCAGGACCCTGTACACCGTGTACGTTAGGCCCATATTGGAGTATGCGGCACCAGTTTGGAACCCATACCTAGCCAAGCACGTAAAGAAACTAGAGAAAGTGCAAAGGTTTGCAACAAGACTAGTCCCAGAGCTAAGAGGTATGTCCTACGAGGAGAGGTTAAGGGAAATCAACCTGACGACACTGGAGGACAGGAGAGATAGTGGGGACATGATAACGACATACAAAATACTGAGAGGAATTGACAAGGTGGACAAAGACAGGATGTTCCAGAGATTGGACACAGTAACAAGGGGACACAGTTGGAAGTTGAAGACACAGATGAATCACAGGGATGTTAGGAAGTATTTCTTCAGCCACAGAGTAGTCAGTAAGTGGAATAGTTTGGGAAGCGATGTAGTGGAGGCAGGATCCATGCATAGCTTTAAGCAGAGGTATGATAAAGCTCACGGCTCAGGGAGAGTGACCTAGTAGCGATCAGTGAAGAGGCGGGGCCAGGAGCTCGGACTCGACCCCCACAACCTCAACTAGTTGAGTACAACTAGGTGAGTACACACACACACACACACACACACACACACACACACACACACACACACACACACACACACACACACACACACACAAAATACTGCGTGGAATAGACAAGGTGGACAGAGACAGGATGTTCCAGAGAGGGAAACAGAAACAAGGGGTCCCAATTGGAAGATGAAGACTCAGATGATTCAAAGGGATGTTAGGAAGTATTTCTTCAGTCATAGAGTAATCAGGAAGTGGAATAGCCTAGCAAGTGAGGTAGTGGAGGCAGGAACCATACATAGTTTTAAGATGAAGTAGGATAAAGTTCATAGAGCAGGGAGAGAGAGAGGACCTAGTAGCACTTAGTGAAGAGGCGATAATCAGGCGTTCCGGAGTGTTTACCTCGACCGAGACAGAACACAAGAAGAAAGGATGACACTGAAAGTGAGGGTGCAATGTCGCAAGGAGGAATGGGAGGTAAGCAAGGTGGAGAGCAGGAGAAATTAGGCCCACGTGGAAGAACAAACAAAACCCCCTACAGTACCACCCACAGAAGGAACAACCATGGCAGTCCCAAAGCAATCAAACGACCTAACCCAAAACCCACTCAATGTACCCTCTGCCCCCATCCCCCTCAGCACAAACCCCACCCCCACAGAAACCCACAGTAACCCACACAATGTACCCTCTCCCCCCATCCCCCACCACAAACCCCACCCTCACAGTAACCCACACACTGGAGTTTACCTGGAGAAGGTTTCGGGGGTCAACGCCCCGCGGCCCGGTCTGAGACCAGCCCTCTTCCCCATCCCCTCAGCACCAGCCCCACTGAAACCCCAGATAGGCCCTCTGTCCCCACACCCCACACCACAGGCCCCACCCCCACACCAACCCCCTATAGGCCCCTGCCATGGCACCTGCTCCCCCTAACACACCTCTCTCCCCAGACCACAGTTATTGAAAAGAAGTTGAAGGATTGGTATACGAACGCAGATGGAATAACGAATAAATGTGAGGAGTGGCATGAAAGAATCAAGTAGATGTCCCCAGACATCGTAGAGGTTACAAAAACAAAACTCACTGGGATAATAACAGATGCAATCTTCCCACCCGGATATCAGATCCTGAGGAAGGATAGAAGGAGCAGGGGGGGGGAGTAGGGGTTGCACTACTAATAAAAAACCGGTGGGGTTATCAAGAAATGGAAGGTATGGACGAGATTGGAGAAATGGATTACGTAGTAGGTACAGTTCAGTCAGGGGAACACAAGGTAGTCATTGTAGTGATGTATAACCCACCACAGAACTGCAGGAGGCCAAGAGAGGAATATGATGAGTGCAACAGAGCAATGGTGGACACTCTAGCTGAGGTGGCAAGAAGGGCTCACTCACGTAGAGCGAAGTTACTGGTCATGGGCGGCTTTAATCACAGGGAGATTGATTGGGAAAACCTGGAGCCATGTGGGGGTCCCGAAACATGGAGATGTGGTGCTGGCAAATCTCATGCACCAACATGTTAGGGATACTACCAGAGAGAGAGGGAAGGATGAACCAGCAAGGCTGGACCTCGTGTTCACCCTGAATAGTTCAGACATTGAGCACATCACATATGAAAGGCCCCTTGGAGCTAGTGACCACGTAGATATGAGCTTTGAATACATCGTGGAGCTATAAGTAGAGAGGGTAACAGGAGTAGAAAGGGAAAAGTTAAACTATAAAAGGGGGGACTACACAGGAATGAGGATCTTTTTGCAGGAGGTTCAATGGGAACAGGAGTTGGTAGGAAAATCAGTAAATGAAATGATGGACTTTGTAACAACAAAATGCAAGGAGGCAGAGGAATGGTTTGTTCCCAAGGGTAACAGAAATAATGAGAAGGACAGAACAAGCCCTTGGTTTACCCGAAGGTGCAGGGAGGCAAAAACTAAGTGCTCTAGAGAATGGAAAAAGTAGAGAAGGCAAAGAACTCAGGAGAATAAAGAGATCAGTCGACGAGCCAGAAACGAGTATGCACAGATAAGGAGGGAGGTGTAGCGGCAGTATGAAAATGACATAGCATCGAAAGTCAAGTCTGATCCGAAACTACTCTACAGCCACATCAGGAGGAAGACAACAGTCAAGGACCAGGTAATCAGGCTGAGGAAGGAAGGTGGGGAGCTCACAAGAAATGACCAGGAGGTATGCGAGGAGCTCAACATGAGATTTCAGGAAGTATTTACAGTGGAGGCTGAAGGGACAACGGGAAGACAAAACAGTGGGGTACAGCAACAAGGGATATACCAACAGGTGTTGGATGAATTACAACTGAGGAGGAGGTGGAGAAGCGCCTAAGTGACCTTGATACCTCAAAGGCGGTGGGACCGGACATCTCTCCATGGGTCCTTAAAGAGGGACACTACATGTGCCACTAACCAAAATCTTCAACACTTCCCTTGAAACTGTGCAACTACCTGAAGTATGGAAGAAGGCAAATGTAGTCCCCATCTTTAAGAAGGGAGACAGAAATGAAGCACTAAATTATAGACCAGTGTCACTGACGTGTATAGTATGCAAAGTCTTGGAAAAGATTATCAGGAGGAGAGTGGTGGAGCAACTGTAGCAGAACAAGATTATAAACGACAGCCAGCACGGATTCATGGAAGGCAAATCCTGTGTCACAAACCTACTAGAGTTTTATGACAAGGTAACTGAAGTAAGAAATGAGAGGGAGGGGTGGGTTGATTGCATTTTCTTGTACTGCAAGAAGGCCTTCGACACAGTTCCTCACAAGCGATTAGTACAAAAGCTAGGGGAACAGGAACGTATAACAGGAAGGGCACTGCAATGGATCAGAGAATACCTAACAGGGAAGCAACAGCGAGTCGTGGTCGGTGATGAGGTATCACATTGGGCGCCAGTGACGAGCGGGGTCCCACAGGGGTCAGTCCTGGAACCAGTTCTATTCTTGGTATATGTGAACGACATGACGGAAGGGATAGACTCAGAAGTGTCCCTGTTTGCAGATGACGTGAAATTAATGAGGAGAATTAAATCAGATGCGGACCAGACAGGTCTACAAAGAGACCTGGACAGGCTGGATGTGTGGTCCCGAAACTGGCTCCTAGAATTTAACCCCGTCAAATGCAAAGTCATGAAGATTGGAGGAGGGTAAAGAAGACCGCAGACAGAGTATAGGCTAGGAGGCCAAAGGCTGCAAACCTCACTCAAGGAGAAAGACCTAGGAGTGAGTATAATACCGAGTACATCACCAGAAGCACACATTAACCAGATAACTGCTGCGGCATGTGGGCGCTTGGCAAACCTGAGAATAGCGTTCTGGTACCTCAGTAAGGAATCGTTCAAGACTTTATACACTGTGCACGTCAGGCCCATACTGGAGTACGCAGCACCAGTTTGGAACCCACATCTGGTCAAACACGTCAAGAAATTAGAGAAAGTGCAAAGGTTTGCAACAAGGCTAGTTCCAGAACTAAGGGGAATGTCCTATGAAGAAAGGTTAAGGGAAATCGGTCTGACAACACTGGAGGACAGGAGGGTCAGGAGAGGCATGATAGCGACATACAAAATACTGCGTGAAATAGACAAGATGGTCAGAGACAGGATGTTCCAGAGATGGGACACAGAAACAAGGGGTCACAATTGGAAGCTGAAGACTCAGATGAGTCAAAGGGATGTTAGGAAGTATTTCTTCAGTCATAGAGTAGTTAGGAAGTGGAATAGTCTGGCAAGCGATGTAGTGGAGGCAGGAACTATACATAGTTTTAAGACGAGGTATGATAAAGCTCATGGAGCAGGGGGAGAGAGGACCTAGTAGCGGTCGGTGAAGAGACGGGGCTAGGAGCTGAGTCTCGACCCCTGCAACCACAATTAGGTGAGTACACACACACACACACATACACACACACACACACACACACACACACACACACACACACACACACACACACACACACACACACACACACACACACACACACACACACACACATATATATACATAAAGATTTGACAGTTAAAAACTGAATAGGGAAGTTAGTAGATTGGGAATTGGAGGTAGTGGGAAGATGGTGAGAATAATTCAAGAAACTGTTACATGTTTATGAAGAAATGGAGGCAGTAATTTCATGCATTGGCCAAGGAGGTATATCAACTTTCAGGAGTAATGATGAATACGATGTGAGTGTGGGGGGAGGTGCATGAGGCGCTGGGTAGAATGAAAGAGAGTAAAATAGCTGGAACTGATGGGATCATGACAGAAATGTTGAAAGCAGGTGGGGATATAGTTTTGGAGGGGTTGGAATTTTTGTTCAGTGTATGAAAGAGGGGAAGGTACCTAGAGATTAGCGGAGAGCATGTATAGTTCCATTATGTAGAGGGAAGGGGAAAGAAAAGAATGTAAAAAGTATAGGGGAATAAGTTTACTGTGTATGCAGGTAAAGTGCATGGTAGGGTTATTATTTAAAGAATTAGAGGTAAGACAGAAACCAGGAATGTAGATGAACAAGGAGGTTTTAGAATGAGTGAGGGATGTGTAGATCAAGTTTTTATGTTGAAGCATATAAGTGAACAATATTTAGATAAAGGTAGGTTAGTTTTCTTTGCATTTATGGATTTAGAAATGGGTGGATAAGGGAGGAATGTAGTAAGTTACTAAATGCTGTAAAGAGTTTTTATGAGGATAGTGAAGCTCAGGATAGTGTAGGAGAGAAGGAGATTACCTCCCAGTAAAAGTAGGCCTTATATGGGGATGTGTAATGTCACAATGGTTGTTTGACATATTTATAGATAAGGTTGTAGCAGTAAATGCAATGATGTTGGGGAGAGGGGTGGGATTAAATTATGGGGAGTCAAATACAAAATGGGAGTTGACACAGTTACATTTTTGCTGATGATACTGTTCATTTGGAAGATTCTAATGAGAAGTTGCAAAGGTTGGTGGACAGGTTTGCGAGCTTTTGTAAAGGAGGAAAATTGAAAGTGAACATAGATAAGAAAGAGTAAGGTGACGAGGGTTATCAAACGAGTTAAGTAAAGACAAACTGGATATCACATTGGAGGGAGGAAGGGAGAGAAAATGGAAGAAATGAATGTGCTCTGATATTTAGAAGCAGACTTGCTAGTAGATGGGTTCATGAAGGACGAGGTAAACTATAGAATTGAAGAAGGAAAAAGGAAGACATGCACTGAGGTATCTGTGGAGACATAGAACGTTGTATATGAAGGCAAAGAACGGAATGTATTAGAGTATAGAGGTACTAACAGTCTTATATGGGCATGATGCATGGATTGTAAATGCTGCTGCAAGGAGGTTGGAGGCAGTGATGTCGCGTCTAAGGTCAATGTGTGGTGTAAATATTATGCAGAGAATTCGTAGTGTGGAAATTAGGGGGAGGTGTGGAGTTGCCAAAAATATTATTCAGAGAGCTGAAGGGGGGTTGTTGAGGTGGTTCGGTCATTTAGAGAGGAAGGAGCAAAATAGGATTACATGGAGGGCGTAAAACTCTGTAGTGAAGGGGAGGAGGGGCTTGAACATGCAGCAGGAATGTGTGAGTGAATGGAGACGAGTGGCTTTTGGAACTTGACGAGCTGTTGGAGTGTGAGCAGAATAATATTTTGTGAAGAGATTCAGAAAAACCGGTTAGCTGAACTTGAGTCGTGGAGGTGGGAAGTACAACGCCTGCACATTAATGGAGGGGTTTGGGATATTGGCTGTTACAGAAGAAAAAGGGAAGAATCGTAGATATAACATGAGGCAAGCGGTGTATGATGATATTGATGGGATGCTAACCTGTCGGGAATGGAGCATGTGAAGGCGTACTCAAGGTGTATTGGGCATGTGATGGTATACACATTGCCTGGCCAGTGATGTCAAATAAATGTAATGAGAAACTGTGTCCATCCGTTTACAAATCATGTGACGTAGTACTCACTATTTTATACAGGGTTGCTGATGGAATTTTCACTGTTTAGTCACTGGTGTTCACGGCATGTAATGAAGTACTCATTGTTTGACCATCAGTATACAAGGAATGGTGGTGTCTTACCTGTCTGACCAGCGTTGTAGACGGGTCTCGAAGGCTGGATGAGAATGGTGAGGAACTTGGCCTGAAATGTGAGGTTAACAGTACGCTTGAAGAATGACGTTACGCCCTTCCGTCCCACCACCCGCAGCTGCCACTGACCTGCCACGCTGGTGGCCGGAACCTGCATAACAAACATACACACACACACAACTGTATTTTAATCGATATCAGTAAATAAATATTTTTTATTAACACATCGACCGCTTCCCACCAAGGCAGGGTGGCCCGAAAAAAAAACTTTCATCATTCACTACATCACTGTCTTGCCAGAGGCATGCCTACACTACAGTTATAAAACTGTAACATTAACACCCCTCCTTCAGAGTGCAGACACTTTTCTTCCAATTTCCAGGACTCATGCCCGGCCTTCCGGTTTCCCTGAATCCCTTCATAAATGTTACCTTTCTTACAGTCCAACAGCATGTCAAATCCTAAAAAAAAATTATCTCAGTTCGCTCCTATCTAACACGCTCACACAAGCTTGCTGGAAATCCAAGCCCCTCACACACAAAAAAAAAACTCTTTTACCCCCTCCCACCTTTCCAAGGCCGACCCCTACCCTGCCTTCCCTCCACTATAGATTTATATACTCTTGAAGTCATTCTATTTCGTTCCACCCTCTCTACATGTCCAAACCATCTCAATAACCCCTCCTCAGCCCTCTGGATAATAGTTTTGGTAATCCCACACCACCTCCTAATCCCCAAACTACTGATTCTCTGCAGTATATTCACACCACATGTTGCCCTCAGACATGTCATCTACACTGCCTCCAGCCTTCTCTTTGTTGCAACATTCACAACCCATACCTCACACCCATACAAGAGCTTTGGCATAACTATACTCTCATACATTCCCTTCTTTGCTTTCATGGATAAAGTTCTTTGTCTCTACAGACTCCTCAATGCACCGCTCACCTTTTTCCCCTCGTCAATTCTACGATTCACCTCATCTTTCATAGACCCATCTGCTGTCACTTCCACTCCCAAATATCTGAACACATTCACCTCCTCCATACTCTCTCCCTCCAACCTGATATCCAATCTTCCATTACCTAATTTTTTTTGTTATCCTCATCACCTTATCCTTTCCTATATTCACTTTTAACTTCCTTCTTTTACATACCCTACCAAACTCATCAACCATCCTCTGCAACTTCTCTTCAGAATCTCCCAAGAGCACAGTGTCATCAGCAAAGAGCAACTGTGAAAACTCCCACTTTGTGTTAGATTCTTTATCTTTTAATCCCACACCTCTTGCCAACACCCGAGCATTTACTTCTCTTACACCTCCATCTATAAATATATTGAACGACCATGATGACATCACACATCCCTGTCTAAGAGCTACTTTTACTGGGAAATAATCCCCCTCTTGCCTACATACTCTAACCTGAGCCTCACTATCTTCGTAAAAACTTTTCACCACTTTCAATAACCTACCTCCTATTCCATACATTTGCAACATCTGCCACATTACCCCCCTATCATATGCCTTTTCCAAATCCATAATGCCACAAAAACTTTTTTACCCTTATCTAAATACTGTTCACCTATGTGTTTCTCTGCAAACACTTGGTCCATACACCCCCTACCTTTCTTAAAGCCTCCTTGTTCATCTGCTATCCTGTTCTCCATCTTACTCATAATTCTATCAATAATAACTCTACCATACACTTTGCCAGGTATACTCAACAGATTTATTCCCCTAAAATTTTTACACACTATTTTGCCCCCTATGCATTTATACAAAGGAACGATGCATGCTCTGCCAATCCCAAGATATCATACCCTCTTCTATACATTTATTAAATAAAAGCACTAACCACTCTAAAACTATATCCCCAAATGCTTTTAGCATTTCTATTTTTATTCCATCAATCCCAGCTGCTTTACCCCCTTTCATTCTACCCACTGCCTCACGCACTTCCACCACACTCGCAACTGGTTCTTCCTCAATCTTATAAGATATTATTCCTCCTTACCTTATACATGAAATCACAGCTTCCCCATCTTCATCAACATTTAACAATTCCTCAAAATATTCCCTCCTCCTTCCCGATACCTCTAACTCTCCATTTTTAACTTACGAATCCATTCTCAACTTATTAATCTCACTCCAAAACTTTTTCTTATTTTCAACAAATTTTGTTGATAACATCTCACCCACTCTCTCATTTGCTCTCTTTGTACATTGCTTCACCACTCTTTTAACCTCAATTTTTTCTCTCCATATACTCCTCCCTCCTTGCATCACTTCTACTTCGTAAAAACATCTCATATGCTAACTTTTTCTCTTTTAGTACACTCTTTATATCATCATTTCATCAATCACTCTTCTTCCCTCCCACACCCACTTTCCTGTAACCACAAACTTCTCCTGAACACTCTAACACTATATTCTTAAACCTACCCCATACATCTTCTACCCCATTGCCTGTATTCTCAATATCCCATCTGTCCTATTACAAAAAAACAGAAATATGTAAAATACATAGGTGCAAATAATGAAACAATCATGATAAATTTTAATTTATGAGCGATCTGGAATTTTAAATTTTAAGTCCAAAGTGGTAAACAATATTGAAATCTTGTACGAGTATAAAAAAATCATTTAGCTACTGGTTACAACATGTACCTTTTTAAGTCAAAATTTCCAAAAAATCAATGCTGCTTTGCTATTTGCATAAAATGGATATTAAATAGTAATCAGCGGGATAAAGTTCGTCATAATTATTGCAACATTTGCGAAAAAAATCAGTGCACAGGACACGTCTAGTAAAGTATGTATAGTATTATCTAAGAGATTTCTTCTATTCCCTTCATGTGACTGGTATATTAAACTTCTGCTAAGATCTGGGCTTAAAATTGAAAAGGTGCATCTACTCCATTACATATAAAATTTAGCTCCGCACTGGTGACACCTGACAATGAGCTCAAGGCAGAATTTTTTGTGTCATTCTAAAGCTTATTATAACTCTTTTACGACAGCACTGCAGGATAATTTACACTTACGCAAAAATACAGACTTTAGATTTTTTTTTTTGAGATGTATAATAATCTATTTACTAAACGAATAGAGAAAGAAAACACATTAAAATAAAAGTCACAATAATGGCACTGAACGAACCATGAAAATAAGAATTAAATAAGATGATGAATTTAGTAAACTGCATATATTTTTTTTTCTATATTTTTATTGCATTTTGTACCATGGCAGCCAAGGAATTGACGAGTTCAAAATTATTCCAGCAATTATTCCGTTGTTCCAGCAATGATTACACTTGGTTAATGAAAATCATCACTTTTCAAAAATCAAGGAGTTTGAGTAGCTGCCATTACTGTGAAATGATAGCAGTTTGCTGAAATAGTATTCACTAAAACCGTGAAAATATTTTCTGAAGCAACTAAGATAGCATATCCATACGAGTGGCGGTGTGACGAAGGCACTGAGTATACTGTTACCGCTCAGCTGGAGCTGCTAGATAATCAGTCAACAGTGCACAATGTTCGTAAAATCAGAATTATCTACGTGGCTATATTTTTAGCCATATTTGGAAACCTCAGGTGGAATATTATGGTGCAGGTGGTTAGCGATGGTGGTGATCAATTAAGGCCATTCAAAACATGATAAAAACTAGATATAAAACTTTGATCGTGGAAGATTGTTTAATTTAAATAAGTCATCAATTTTAAAGACCTGTACGGGTTACAAGTTATAATAGTCGTTTTTTTCAAAGATATTCTCATTCATTTTAAGAAATACAGTTTCACTATGACATCTGTTAAAACACGTCAATAGCTTCACTATATCCTCTATAATATAATATTAACTGTTCAACACCAAAATTCACCTATATTAAAAATATTAATAATAATAATGATATATATATATATATATATATATATATATATATATATATATATATATATAATATATATATATATATATATATGTCGTGCCGAATAGGCAGAACTTGCGATCTTGGCTTAAATAGCAACGCTCATCTTGCCATATAGGACAAGTGAAAATTTGTGTATGCAATAATTTCGCCAAAATCATTCTGAACCTAACGAAAAAAATATATTTCACTGTGTTTGTTTAGTATTAAATTACTGTAAACAAATCTAAAATATATTTAGTTGGGTTAGGCTAAAATAAACTACTTTTGTTATAATAAGATTAGGTAAGTTTTCTAAGATTCTTTTAGTGCAAAATTATAAATTTTTACATTAACATTAATGAAAAAAAATATATCTTTAAACGTATAAGAGAAAATTTTAGAAAGGACTTAATTTTAAATGATTTCTTGCTAATTGACCAGTTTTACGTATTCGGCACGACATATATATATATATATATATATATATATATATATATATATATATATATATATATATATATATATATATATATATTTGCACCAATGTGTTCATGTTTGTGTTTTCTGTCAATGTATTCTGTCTATTAGCAAAGTTCATATAAAATATAGGGGGTGGTAGGAGAAGAAAATATTCAAACAACTCCGGGGAGAACCTTGAGTTTTCCCTGAGGTACGTTTATTGTCTTCTCTGAGGATGAGGGTCCCCAGTAAAGTTCTGGAGGTGGTGCCTCCCTATATATATAATTTGTAAAGAGTACATTATACAATTGATATAGGAAATAAACTGCTATAACTATGATCATAATTTTTAAAGGGGTGGACCGGTAAGCCAGCGGAAGGCCTCGGTCAGATGATCAAAAGCTCCAAAGGCGGGTCATCATCTGACTAAGACCCGCTACGGGAAACACTTGTCCTGTTTCCTGACAAACCTTATTGATACAGGATTAGTTAACATTACTGGCATACTGTACATGAAGCTCCAGGTTATGTAAAGCATTTCATTGATCCTTGAAATTAACGTATAACAGCTGGACAATAATTTAATTATTTTGGTTTACAAGAAAGTTAAAGTTTACATTCTTTGACAGTTACTCTAACAGTTTGGTTAATGATTATGACATTTTTGTATATTTTGTAAAACAGTTTGTTATAACTTCTGTAGTGTTTATTGCACAGGTTGTTCAAATACGAATACAGTTATTAAATCTAAATTTCTATATTACTGTACTGGACATATA